AAAAAAAAAAAAAAAAAAAAAAAAAAAAAAGGGAAAAGGATGGGGGAGATGGGGGCAATTATTCCGAGAAGGTGGGGGCCTTTGGGGTAATGGTGGTCGAGACAAGAACCTTCCTTCCTTACTTCCCACCATCTTCACTCTCACACACCCTTTCTTTTCACTCTCAATTTCACTATATTTCATTTTTCTCCTTCACCAGCTGACTTCTAAGAACCTGGACTAGCAACTTTCCTCATCATCATGCAAAACTCCCTGCTTGATCCACAAGATCAGAGGTTTTTTCGATTTGCCCTATAATCATTTTCCCATTTAACTTTTCTTTGTAAATTTTGCTCCGCTTATCATATCGGTTTGTTTTATTTTGCTGCCTTTTTTGTGTGATTCATTGTCGTACCATAATTGTTTCCATTTGTTTTCGGATTCAGTTGGAACCGACAATACCTTTTGGCTTCGGTTTTTGGACATGTTTTTACTGTTAAAAGTATTCCGGAGAGTGTAGAGTTAAAGATCTATTTGAGATTTGTGAATCTTACTACGAGATGTCTCTAGAGAGAGATATCATGTCTGTGTTTGAGAATAGTAATTCTCTAATTCTAGGACTATGACCTAGTTGGCGGCTTGGTATTCCACTTTTGTTTGCTCATCAACTAGTTAATTGTTACTGATAGATGAATGAGAATGCCCAATATGAAGGGACCCATTCCTCTAGTTAGTGCAGGAACTGTAGGATTAATTGACTCCATCTATCTTCAGAATTCAAGTTTTGATCCCAATTTTGTCTACACATATATTGTACGTATGACTTAAATCCATATTGGGTGTGGGACTGTCGCCGCTTCCCTGATTACCTATTTTGGGACTTAAAGTTACATATCCCTTCCAAATCTGGGATCCACAATGGCCAATTGTTGCTGCCCACTCTGCGGCTCTCACTCTGACCTTTTTGGCACAGTTAGTCTTTACCCTGGCCATTTCTTTGCAAGGTTGTCAAACTGGCATAGGACAAGGCTTCTAGATAGGGTTTTATCAAGGAGTAGAGAAGGACTGAGAGATGAGTATTTAAACAGTCAATGGGCTGGTTCTTCAGATGTAATAAACCAGGAAAAGAAAGTTATTGATAATTATGGATTTATGACTCAGGAAAAAGGTTAAATTGTTGAGGTTTTTCTTTTATAGTGCAAGCCAAGCCCTTTATGGTTACATGCATTCTACTTTCCATCCTGTCTCTTATGAATTTGCAATTACAATCATTAAAATACTTCTTAAGCACAACATGCCTATAGTGCATTGGTAGATAGATACGACATACGAGTATTAGATACGATATGTATACACCAATTCTTGAAAGTATATAGGATGTGGTACATTTAAGGTAGTATTAAAAAAAACTTAAAGTAAGAATATATCTATTAAACATTAATAAAAAATAAAAATAGATAAAATTATAAAACTATTGATTTTTTTTGCAAGATTAATTTTTACTTACATGATAATGATTAAATCAGTAATCAATCATAAAACTTTTAGTACTGATATGTATTTTTATAAATATTAGATAATAAAAATATGCAATACAGATTAAAAATGATACATATTAAAATATGAATATCACATTAAAAAATATGCAATACAAATTAATATTATGTACTCCCTCCTGTCCTTTTTATAAGGCCCAAATAAAAAGTGTTGCTTGGTCCTTTTTATAAGAATCAACCTAAAATGTTTCATGTATAATGTATTAATTATTTTTTTTACTAGAAATACCCTTAATTAATATCACTTCCCATAATTCAATAAGTAGTTAGTAGAGTAAGAGTTTTATTAATGTCAGAGGTAGTTTTGGAAAACAAAATATAAATTTAGGAAATAATTAATGTTATGAACTAAATTAACCAACTTTCTAAACCCTTATGAATTAGGTGATTGAGTCTTATAAAAAGGATCAAAAGCAATAATAAAGTGCAGCGGTCATTTGGGTGGTGGGCATTGCCAAAATATTAACAAGTTGATGGTTTGCAGAATCCCATACTTCAAATATGGGACTCAAGTCCCCTGCCTTGCAATTGGATCCTAACGCTGTTCCAGCTTTAAAAACATTAAGATAAACTACTAATAGTTTTTTACTTTTCTATTGCTCTTGCATCACAAGCCCATAAAGAGAGCTCATCCTCCAAAATGCTAGCCTATTGGGTGGGTTTTTCTAATGCTTAAGTGCCACATTAAGCTTTCTTATTTGCTAAATGTTCAGCATAACATATTCTAGGGCATCTATTGTTTCCCTTAAGAAAAATCCTCTTAAAATAAGTCAAAATTTTCTTGGATAGGGGGTCCAGATATGTTTTTCTTTCTTTCTTTTTAATATGTATGAACTCCTGTATTTCCGTTTTGTTATTGGAATTTATTCTTGTTTTCCTTTGCCGGGAGGGAGAGATTGGGGCAAGGTAAGGCAATGAGAGGGAAAAAAAAGGAAGAATATAATGAAGTTACCATGTAGGTCCTCCCTCCAAATTTGTCAACATAAATTAAGTGATAGTTGGATTTTTCCACTAACAAGTTAGCATTAGTATAATATTTCTTTCATTTTTCTCCCCTATCAGATCTCCTTTTGAGCTATATTAATTAGATATTGGTGTCACTTAGGATTACTTCCTGCATGGAGGATTCTACTGCAATGACTATTGAATTCCTGCGGGCAAGGTTGCTTTCTGAAAGGTCCATCTCAAGAAGTGCTAGACAGAGAGCTGATGAACTGGCAAAAAAGGCATGTTAAGTTAGGCTTGCTAGATTATGGAGTCAATCTTGCACGATCTTTCTTAATTTTCTCTTTTTAGCTCTAATTTTTCTCAAATAATGTCAATCAGGTCATGGAATTGGAGGAGCAACTAAGGATGGTGATTCTTCAGAGGAAGATGGCAGAGAAGGCCACTGCTGATGTTCTTGCCATTTTGGAGAGTCAAGGGATAAGTGATGTATCTGAAGAATTTGATTCAGGCTCAGACCTTGAAAACCCTTGTGATTCTAGTATGAGTAATGAGTGTGCAAAAGAGGGTGAGGAGCCTATGAACTCAAAAGGAAGACAGCATGGATCAGATGAAATGTCTGGTTCCAATATAGATTCTTCGCCAGTATCCAGTAAAAATTTGTCTTGGAAAGGACGCCATGATTCTCCCCACTCTCTTGAAAAGTACAAGACCAAGACTTCTAATTTGAGGAGGCAAAACAGTTTTTCATCAATCAGTTCTTCACCAAAGCATCGCCTAGGAAAGTCATGTCGCAAGATAAGACATAGAACCAGGTAAGTCTGTAACCTATTTTTTCTCATAAATTTTGTTTTTATCCCCATTTATGTTACCAGTTTCCACAGGGAACAATGATCTTTTCCTTCTCGTTGTTTTTCTTATTCTTTCTATGCAAGGTAGCTACTAATTAACAAAAAATCTGCTCGTTTCTAGTTTGAACTTGGTTCCAACTTGTTGGAATTCAAGTGTGAAGCAAAGTCCCACATTGGTTAGAGTTGGGCATGTTGAGTAATATATAAATGAGAAAGACCCACCTACCTAATGCCTTAAGGTTTTAGGTTATGTTGTGGTGTCAAGCTCATTTGCTTAAGGTTTTAGGTTATGTTGTGGTGTCAAGCTCACTTGCATGACTTACTCACTACCCATTGTATGAAATGCTCCCCCGATGTTAAAAGACTACCCATTGGTTCCAACTATTAGGCTTAGGACCTCTGGAGTACCAAGGTTATGCCACTGGACTCTGGTTACTGACTCGCTGTTTTGCAATAAAATTTGAATAAAATAAAAGGTGTGCCTTAATTTCTTGAACATGTGGTAAATTCAATGTTGTTTGAGCATGTCACAAGTTTGTCCTTAGTCTGCTATCAATTATTTCCTAATTATGTCTTGATTTTATATTGTATCAAATCTGTTCAGAGTCAAATTTAAATAAAATCTGAATCATGATAAGATTGCTTCCTGATCTTTCCCCTTGATTGTGGCAGATTTGGTTTCTTTATTGAGACTAATTCTGTCTATAATTAGTGGCTGTATTATTAAAAAATAATCAGAGAAATAAAATAGTTTTTTTTCCTCTCTATTTTAATATAGTATCAAATCCTATCCTAAACCCATTATTTGGCTACCTACCATATTATGCACATACTAAGCCAATAAACCTGATAGTGTTGGGGTATAAGGAGGCGTATTAAGAAAAACTTAAATCTCACATTGACTTGACTAGAGATAATGCCCTTATAACAAGAGCTTATAAAGCTTAGGCACCCCTCATTTTTACAAACCAATTTTACAGGGATAAGTTAGACCCAAAATTGAAGAGAGCACATACTTTAATATATATAGAAATAGAATTGACGTTTCTTTTAATAAATTCTGGATGCCTCATTTTCCTTTTACATCTTCTGAGGAAGTGTTTCTCTCAGAAAATTATTAATGTTTGGCAAAAAGTAAGAATCTGGATAGATACTAATGAAATAAGTTTTTATGTTTCAGAATGGAGTGTTTTAATATTTTACTTTTCATTAGAGCTTGAAATGAGTTGAGCTGAGTCAAGCTCGGCTCGATAATATTTGGCTCAGCTCGCAGCTAGACTCGGGTTTAACATAAACCTTTTTTTTCAGTTTGAACTCAACTCATTCAAGTTCGCTAGTAGTTCAGTTCAGTTCGTTAGCTCAAATCACATGAACCAAAAGTCAATTTTTTTTATTGTTATACATTTCAAAATTTCAATTTAATAATAGATTTAGATAAAGTGATTGTTTATTTTTTTTAAAAGACAACATAACTTATTCTATTAATTTTGCAAGGTTACAAGGTATGATTCCAAAGAAACATAATTACAACTAAAGTCTATATAAATAAAAACCACTCTACCTTGCATAAAATAATAGAAAATCCAATCCATAACCATGAAGTTTTAAAGTGTTCACTTATTTTATTATTTTTAACTTATAACTAAGTTTTGAATGTTCTTTCAAATTTTAATAAGCTAAAATTAAATAGAAAGTTAATTATATAAATTATATATTTATATGTCAAATTGATTCATGAACCAAACGAGTCAAATTGTACGCAACTTAAGTTTGAATCATTTATTTATCAAGTTCAATCTTTAGTTCAAGTTTAACTCATTTGGTTCATAAACCAAATTCAACTAGTTAATTATCAAATCGAGTTTTGAACTATTTTCGAGTTGGTTTGATTCATTGTTACCCCTTACTTTTCATAGTCTTGTCCTATCTGCTCCAAATTTATGATATGCATAACCCCTGAAAGTAATTTGCATCTATCTTCCTCTTGTAACACTTAACTTCCTGATTGCTTGCGAAGTTGATAAATTAGTTGTGTTTTCCCAGGTCAGTAGTGGAGGAGTCTAGAGATAAGTTTGTTAAAGTCAACTGCCAAGAAAATGAACTTGCATCCTCTTCTGAAGGATTTCCAAATTTCTCAGATAGTGGGTCTAACATCCTGAAAATAGAAGCTAAAATTCAAGAAGAGGATGGATCAGAGGCAAACCTACATAACAAAAATCATCATGCAGATGTATATGGAAGAGAGAAGGACATGGAAAAGGCACTTGAACACCAAGCCCAACTTATTGACCGATATGAAGCTATGGAGAAGGCTCAAAGAGAATGGGAAGAGAAATTTAGAGAGAATAACAGCACAACACCAGTATGCTTCACCTAGACTTCTCATATTCTAAGTGTCTTTTCTTGAAACTTGATGTTTGGTTGTTGCATTTACGACAATGTCAGGAAGGTTGAAATGTGATCTTAGGCATAGTTTGATTTTAATTTTCAAGAAAATGTTTCTTTCATTAAACACAACAGGCAAGAGTTCTCTGAGAATCTTAAAATGTTACTGTTTCAGATTAGTAGGACTTTTCCAATATTATGTTTTCTTGCAACCTCATCTATTCTGCATAACAATGGTATGGAGGCAAAGGTTTGAAAAATTAAGGAGTTAGTTGAGCAAATAAAAAAGCAGATTTTCTTGAATCTGCAGTTAAGCTCTGTTTTGTTTTTGAAAAGCTATGTGTTTCATACTGCTTTGAGGGCACTATACTACCACTTTAGGTGGTGGTAGGTGACAGTAGGCAGAGACATGATGAAACTTAAGATGTTAGTTTGTTTGTTGCCTACTCATTCTTTTGTGTCACTGGAAGTGGGTAATCCTGCAATGAGATTCAGAAGGTGACTCTGATGTATTGATCCCTTAAACATAGCAAAAGGAACTATAAGAATGATAGTGCTGAGAGAGCATAAAACATGTTGCATGAAGCTGTCATTTAGAGTAAGCAGTGAAGCAACTTATTTGAGTAGAAAACTAGGATAATTGTTTTTTTATCCAAAGATTAAAGTTAGCTGACATGCAAGAATTTGTTATACCTTTCTTTCTTTTTCAAAAGGGAAGTAGATAATAAATTGAATGAAACACTTATTTGAGGTAGAGTATTTGTTTGTATTATATGTCAGCTTTTTAATCTATGCTTCCACTGTATTGAATAATTAATAATTACATTCTCTAGATGGTTCAGTTAATATAGTTCAGCTGTTCAGGTTATTTTTTCTATTAGCTCTGTACATCAAATAGTTTTATGATTCAAAATAGGTTCTATACTGCTTTCCTATAGAATAACCTGAAGTCTCAAACTTGGTTTTGGGTTATAAATTATCCAGGATTCGTGTGATCCGGGGAATCACTCAGATATGACTGAGGAAAAAGATGAATGCAAGGTTCAGATTCCATATGCTGCTAAGGTGGTCACCTCAAATGCTCAAGAGAGTAAAGGAGAACCCAAAGGTGTTTGCTTATCTGAAGAAAAATCCAAAGCCGAGGCCAGAGATATTATGCCAAAAACATATGATGACACAGGAGGTTACAGCAACCAGATGACAACTTTTACCACTTCTGATTTGCTTGGTCAAGAAAATTCACATTCCACACTGAAGGGAAACCAAAATGAGAGCTCAGTAAATGGTCACTTTCAGTCTTCTGATATGAACCATAAAGATCCAAGTAGGCATGATTACCCTGATTCCAGACCTACTTCTTCGTTTCCAACTGATATTCATGGTGTTCAGCACCAAAATGATGCTTCAAGAAGCAAAAATGATCTCTGTGCATTAGTTACTCATGAACAATCTCACAAGTTCAATGGTGTACTTGAATCACTTAAACAAGCTAGGATATCTCTACAGCAGGAGCTCAATAGGTTGCCGCTAGTAGAGGGTGGGTACACTGCTAAACCATCTGCTTCTGTTAGTAAAAGTGATGATAAGTTTGAAATTCCTGTTGGGTGTTCTGGTCTCTTCAGACTTCCGACAGATTTTTCTGATGGAGCATCTGCAAGATTCAATGTTCATGATCCAACTGCTGCATTTGGTCCAAACTTTCATCTTAATAGAGGCATATCTAGAGCTTCAGATGGTCAGTTTCTCACCGGTCCTCCTTACTCCGGCACAACGTTGAGCTTGACTGCTGATGATCAATCTCTTGTGACCCGATACTTGGAAAATGGGTCAAGATTGGATTCTGACAAGTCCTCTTTTGATCCTTTCTTAAATGGGGGTCCAATCTCTTCCGGTAAATACATGTATCCCTCGTTTCCCATCAATCCATCGTATCAAAATGCAACATCGCAGATGCCATTTGGTGATGAAGTTTCAAGACCCTTTTCAAGTAGCACAGTTGGGGTTCCTCATGCATATCGTTTCTCATTTAATGGTGATCATTTAAGGTGAAACATGTACATAGTTCCATTAGGTTGCTAGCTGCTATGTTTGGTGTAAAAGTAATGGTTTTTATTTGTCATGTACCTTGAGGTGATTCTCTGTATTCTCTCTAGTTGTGTTGGGAAGAGACTTTTATATGACAAAATACATTAGGTTGCCGCACTATCTACCGAACTGAACTATTTTTTGGTTATCAATTTATCTCGAGATTGATAGTTTGAAACTTTGAGATTGATTTTGATAATGTGAAACATGTTTCAGTGTGTTGTTAGTCTTAGGTAAATTGATAACAAAATATAAAAAAAAATGATTAATTATAATTGAATTTTCATTATTGAATGTAACTTGATTAAACACGTTTCAGTTTATCAAAAAAATATTATCTTAGTGTTTTCATTTGCTTTTAAATGTTATAATTGAATTTTAATTATTGAATGTAATTTGAGGTGTTTAAATTAATCTCAGTCACAATATTGGAACACACTCTACACTCTTTTTAAACACTTTTGGTTTTAATTTATTATAACTCAAAATTTTGTGGGTTCTACCAATTATTTAATGGGATTCAATTATGATTTTGTAATTTTAATAAATATTAACTAAAAGCATGTAAATCATAACATTTTGTGGCTTCTTATTTATATAATAGAGTAAATTGTAAAAATGGAGATTTTTATCTACTAAATATATGCATAGGATTCTTCACCTAAGGGAAATTTTGCGAGTGAATAATATAAAATTAACCTAAATATGTTTTTAATTTCTCAAATTTAAGATAAATTTATTTTTGATCCTTCAAATTTAAAATTGTTATTTCTAATCCTTATAATTTTCAAAAATCTTGTTTTAATCCCTAAAATCATAATAATATATTTGAAAATGACAAATTAAGATGGCTATATAATATCAACTGGATTTAATATAATATTTTTAGTAATAAGAACACCAATTTAATGTAATATTTTCATTAATAGAGACACCAATAAGTAAGTTTTATATAATAATTTTTGATAAATTTCTTAACAAAATTTAAATATAAAGAATAAAATAAAATATTTAAAAATTACAAAGAGTAGAAATATATATCTCATTTGAAAAAATAAATACGTTAAATATATAATAAATATTTATTTCATTAAAGATTATGCTAAAAAGGACACTGGTTGACAAACATTTAATATATCTTCTTAAATGCTATCTAGTTATTTAACGTGTTTCGTCATCCATTCTTTTTAAACTTGTTTCCAACCCATATAAATTTAGCCTTCTTATTAACTCAACCCTTAAATTGATGTACTAAAAATATACAATTATAATAGTGAGAAATCAATTTTTTAAAAGAAAATAAAAGGACAAAGTTCGTGAAATTGAGAAAAATAAGAGGACAAAAAAGTACAATAGAGAGTAATTCCTAACATTACATTTTTTTTTAAAAGAATCTTCCCATTATTAAATTTAAACGTGATTCTCAAAAGATCACCGTTGTCATATTAAATTTTTTTTTAGAGGATGTTGTCATATTAAATTAATCAAATCGATCTTCACTTTCTAATCCATTTGCTAATTATTTAATCACAACCTTATGTGTGTGTTTGGTTTTAATTTTTAAACGCAAGTTCTCCATTTTTCTCCATGTCCAATTATTAATTTATGGTTATTATTTTTCTTTCCGGTTAAACGTGAAAAATCACGTTTTGACGCTGATACAAACACACGGTATGCCTTGTTTGGATCCTAAGAAGAGAAAGAAAGCAAAGAATAAATTCTCATTTTATTTGATCCAAAAAGTAAAGTGAAAAAAAACCATCAGAGTATACTACTAACTACTAAGAGTAAAAGGAAGATTTGAACACAATTTGATGAGTAAAATTTAAAATTATCATTTTTGTCTTCTAAGTTTTCCGATAATGAAAGGAAAAAAATCTCAATTTTTCGTATTCCTTTCAAAATTTTAAACCAATAAAATATTTATAATTTTCTATATATTTTTTAGTTTTTTGATCGGTGTGTATTTTGAGTTTCATAATAATTATTAATGAATTTAATAGATATGAGTTCAATAAAAATCCTATGTTTTTTTTCGTCAAAAAAAATTATTATACACTAACAATGTAAATTAATTGTATATTATCAATTAATTACAATTAATTGCTGATATCATCTTTTAATTATTTATTATAAAAATCAGCAAAATTATAAAAATTAACAAAGTAATCATATATGATAATTTATAATTGGATAACAATATAAAATAGACATGGTTTATTTTATCTACACATATATTATTAGTATAGGGAATTTTATATAATTATCAACTAATTCAAAATCAATTTTGGTCCACGGGTGCCACACTTTGCGAATGCATATAACTCCTTAGTTCAATAGTAATGTAATTTTTATTATAAAAATCAACAAAAGTCATAACACATGATAATTTATAATTGGATAAAAATATATAATAAACATGATCTATTTTATCTACACATAGATTATTAGTATAAAAAAATTTACATTATTATCAACTAATTCAAAATCAATTTTGGCCAACGGAAACCACACCTTATGAGTGTAAATTAATCTTTTAATTATGTCAACTTAAAATATTGTGGGGACTGCATCTATTAAAAAAAAAAAAACAACCAACTTATTAAGCATTATGTTTCCATTTCTAGGCCATATGTAGAACTATGTGATACAATCACATTTGAACTCAAAATTGTATACTCAAAACTCAAAATAACTAGTTAAACTGAAAAAATCTTGCGACATCTAATTTACACACTTAGTAATATTATATATAATGATTTGTAATTGAATTTTTTTATCTCATATATCTTCTTATACAATAATATATTATTAGGAAAAAAATTATATCAGAGGGATATAGTCGAAAGATAAGACTAAAGATAATTGATGAGGGATATGGTCGAAGGATAAAACTAAAGATAATTGATGAGCCTACCATGTGAATACATGTCTAATAAAATTAGTATAAATAGTAATAAATAGGAGAGAGAAGGTACATTATTAACATTTATTACAATATTAATTATCTTGAATTGTATGAGATCAAATACGAACTTGTGTGTTGAAATATCTTTTACAGGTATCTTTCACCTTCCCTCTTGGACAAGTATGGGACTACATGTAAGATAGATATTACTTATATATTTTTATTATGCCGATAAGTATAACTTAGATTTGTTAGAAGTTGCAAAGACCATGAAAATAAAGACTTATTGAGTAAAAACTTGACATAATTAGTTATCGATGTACCATTATAGAGATACAAAAGAAATTTATGTATTAATTATTTACATTGTCATCCAATCAAATAAATTATTATGTATAATAATTTTTTTTATATTTTATAAAAGTTACTTAAAAACTTACATATTACAATTTGTAATTATTGAAGTATAAAATAAATTTACATCATTAGTGTATATAACTATATTAGATGATAATCTACATTTATTCCATAAATACTTTATATTTATACATGGATAATGTAAATATATTTTTAAATTAGATTCATTATGTATGATAAATTTACTAATTTTATAAGGTTAAAAACTAATTAAAATACATGTATAATTTGTATGTAAATATGTTTTACTATATCCATGAAACTCAGTTTATATTATCACAATTCACAGCACTAATTAAATTGAAATAAAAATACAGCAAACCGAATAAAAGTCTCCTACTCCGGTGAGTTCTCATTCATCTTCTCTGTTCTATAGCCAAAATACAGTAATCACAACTTGATTCAGATCTCAAAAATCTTGATCATCACCATCATTACTCTTAGATCTTTGACCCCTCGGTCACACACACTCACTCACTCACCTACTATGCCTTCTAGGGTTTCCATTCTTTGTATCATTGGGGCAATACAACAGTCCCAATTCTCACCCTCTCACACCACCATTCTCTGATTCCCCAGACCCACCAGAAAAAGCATGCGTCTTTGGTGCCACCGCGTCAAACCCACTTCAGATTCTCCTCTGAAACCCACGGAGAGTGTTGCAGGCGGTGTCTGTTAGCATTCACTGTTCAATTCTTCTGGAATCTCAAATTGGAGGCTGCTTTATCAATTTTGGAATTTTTTCACAAAATGATTTCTTCAGGGATTAACCTGGTGATGACTGTTATTGGGTTTGCGGTGAGCACCATGTTCATTGTTTTCGTCTGCACCAGACTCATCTGTGCTCGAATTCAATTGAATGCTTCAAGGAGATCCTTTCCCATTGCCTCCAGATCCAATCTCAGCATGGTGAACATTTGTTTTTCCGAGTAAATAGTCTATGTAGTGATACTGTAAACATTTCTACAATGAGTTTAAAGTAATTTTACACCGTTATCTAATCACATTTTGACCTATATAATAGGTTTATTTACTTTTACAAAAACTGTACAAGTTATATTTGGTGGAATTTGTGATTGGTGTGAAGATTTCTAGTCACTGTGTGTTTAGAAATTAAACTATTTTTACTCATGCAAATTGATGCAGTGCAAACTGTGTTATTTTCCAATTGAATGTGATGTCATTTTATTTTATTTGGATTGGATTAATCAATTGGACATTTTCCCGTGTTCAGATGGAGCGGGGTTGCCATGGTCTTGAACGCGTAGTTGTAGCTAAATTTCCAACAAAGAAGTACAGTGACAAGTTTTTTGCTGCTGCAGAAAATTCTCAGTATGTTCATATCTCTGTTTCTGATTTGTTTAATTTTTTTATCCATCCTGTCTATGGTGTTGATTTAATAATTCTATTGTTAATTACTGTACGAATACTCTTTTGGCAAAATATTATAATGTGGTTTGTGCGAAATTCGGTAGTTAAGTTGAAATGAATTGCATGGACAGGAATCTGTAATAAAGATGTGAACCCTAAAATATTTGAAGACATTTAAACTAAAGAAGGTTATGCACCTTATGGGGGGGTCATGGCCATTTGTTTTCGTGGGTTCAGATGGCATGTCTGGTCCCATGTTTAATTTGATAGTGTGTGTATCTTGCAGGAGTAAATCTTATGAATTATGCTTTTTGATATGTTCCATTGGCTTAGGACTAACCATTTCCAATATCTTGATTAGGTTGTGTTATCATCATATGTTTTGTTGATTTCTTGCTCCCAAGCTTATATTAGAGTGTAATTTATTTGCTGTGTATACAGGAGTGGGTCATCTCATGTTGTCAAATTTTAACATGACATGGTCATGTTCAAATTTTATGTCTATCTATTTCTTGGTAGACAATAAATAGGTGGGAACTTATCTAAATATTTGTTGGGAGAGAGAGACACACACAAATTTTAATATGACCTATCATATCATATACCGAGGATCCTTTAATGTTAGACATACCCCCTTCATTATGACCTTCTAGACATTGTTACAAGGAGGTAGTTATGTAGGCAAACCTTATGGGAGGTCAATGCAATTTATTCAGGTCATAAATATTTTTCTGTCTTGCTGCTTCTGTATCGATGAAGAAGCATCATTCATTCAAACCTTGTTCCTCTCATTGGAAATTTAAATATTGGTGGGGGAAGACGTTGGGTCCAATTGTTTCCTGTAATTCTTAAAGGATACAAAATATGAAGGTTTTGTGGTTTATGTTGTCAAGAACTTAATCTTGGGGAGTGCTTTAGGTATTTCAGTTTTTTCACGTGATCATTGACGGCACTTCTCATTCAGATGATTATTTCCTGGTTTTGAACTTCAATTTTTTCATTGTATTTGCAGGTGCACTGTCTGCCTCTCAGAATACCAAGGTGAAGATATGCTGCGTATCCTCCCTTATTGTGGACACTCCTTTCATGTAACCTGCATAGACTTATGGCTGCAGCAGAATTCCACTTGCCCTGTTTGTCGTATATCATTGCGCGAATTTTCTGAGAGAAAGCGGTTAATGCAGCCCTTGTTCAGCTCTGCTTTGCAACCTCATTATGATATACAATCCTTTGACACTCACCATTATCACTGTATGATAGCTGATAATGGATTATCACCAAGAACCCCTGACAACCATGGGGTGAATCCCATAGAAGATAATCATTTTCCATCTGAGGGTGGTGGAGCAGTTGCTATGGACAATATCACCTGTTTAAGTGAGGGTGACCTCATTAAAGATGAAGGGAAGAAGCATGTAGAGAGCCCATCAAATTTCCAGATTTGATTGGTGTCATGGAAATCGATGCTTCAAAATGACGCTTTCAAATCACAATTTGAGTCAAGTTAATGTTCCAAAATTGGAGTGAAAATGTGAAATGCATTAGCATGCTGAAGGATGGTTAATATCTTTTACTGTATATATAGCAGAGAACACCCTTACCCTCCCGGATAGTATTTGAATCTCTCTCTCTCTCTCTCTCTCTTCCCCTCCAAATCCCTTCAAATTGTAATTGCTGTAAGACTATAAGTAGTTGAAGATCAGCTGGAGCTATAGCTGTGGCCTTCCCCTTGCAAACATTTGTATTAATGCAATCCATACAGTACAGTTAATGTATCTTGGCTTTCTGTCCTACTATTATTTTTATGATTTATCTATGGAATCTAATTCAGTATAAGGAGTTTACAACACTTACGTAGTTTGTTCAAGACTGGTTGATCAAGAATTAGTTTTATATAACACTAGTTATTCTAACAAGGTTCCTTTATATAACACTTGGTATTCTAACAAGGTTCCTTTGGTGGGTTTTTTCCTTTCCTTTTTTTTTTTTTTTAAGGAAGATGCAATAATTATGGTTCTTAGGTTTTTTTTTTTTTTTTTTGTGGAAAGGTAGGGTGGTTATCTATTCGTGGCTGCGGGAAAAGGCAGCCTAGAAGAACGGTTTTGAAAAGAGGAATATAGAACCTTTTCATTTGTTTTCATCACCTTTGGGGTCCATTTCTCTCTGGTAGAGACAATCTTGTGTTACATCCCATTGTTGTTTCACTTTTCACTTTTGCACAACTCACAAGTCTTCCAATGTTTTAAAGTTAAAAAAGTGCGTTCTCATTTTATAATAAATAAACATGTATTCTAATGAAAAATATGCAATTCAGATTAATTTAACTACATATTTTAAGCTTTTATATAT